TTCGATAACCAAACTCATGCAGATGGTGTTCCACGGCGTGGTGACTGCATTTAAGTGCTTCCGCTAATTCACGAGTGGTAGCATCCGGATTCAACTGCAGTTCGCGGCGCAAATCGTCATCATTCACTGCGGGTGGTCGCCCTGAGCGTGGCTGAATTTCAAGGCTCCTGTCTCCTGATTTAAAACGGTCAAACCATCGGGACACCGTCGCATGGCTTGTACTTCCAGCGCCTTATGCATTGTTGATATTGTCAGCCGCAGCCCGCGCACTGTGGCCTAACAAGTACTCGTATAAGTATAGTGTTCGAACTTGTCGCTCGTCCATTTTTCTTCAAACTGACTAAACAAATCGCGAGCGCGGCTTTATATACCCTACACCAGAAGTACCTAGAATGTTCTACAACATTCTAGAATATTATCGAAAAAATTGATTTTAAAAAGGAAATGTTATAGATTTTTCTAGTGTGTCTCATTACTTTTGTGCCAACCCAATATTTGCATCTATATTTTTTATCAATAAATAATGAAGACAAAATATTTGATTATTTGTTTGGTCCGAATAGGCGCATGCTGAACTGGTTTTAAAAATTTTTTTCACCTACAAAAAGCTGACATATGAGTGTGACATAGGCTAAAATTTACTCGGGCGAAGTCGCAGATAAACAGCTTGATTGTTAAGATAAAGAAAATATTTCAACATCTAGCTAGATTACAGGAGCACCTACAAAATGTACACCCACTACCTAGTTCTACGCAATGGTTTTTTGAACACCCCTTACCGTGTTCTAAGCTGGACTTCATGGTTTTTCGCTAAATAAATTAGTCGCTAATAGTTTAGTATATTCAATTACAATCAACTTTTATTTTTAAAATAAATAATAGATACCTTTTCTGATACGAAATCTGGATTCAACTCTTGAGGCATCAGTGCTGTTTGGAAATCTGCATCTGCTTGTAGTTTCTTCGAGAAAAAACAGACATAAAGATATTGAAATATAGTCTATTACTAGAACAGGCAAAACGGACAATGACCCAAAGTATTATGTGAACGTTGAAATACGAGACGTATCGCGTGCTATAGAACTCTGTATTTGTTTACGTATTGGAGTAGCTCGGTGGCATTGTGGATAAGCGCCGCGGCTCGCGAGTGCTGTTGTTAAGCAACTTTCACAAGGGTTGGTCACGGGATGGGTGACTGCAAAATGATTATCTCGAGCTACTCCGTGCGTCGGAAGGCACGTTAAGCCGCTGGTCTCGGTTGCGTTTGCAGTTGCTATTACTCTCTAATCGCCATTGGGCCAGCGTGGAGTGTCATGGCCCATCCTCCTTAACCATTAATAAGAAGGGTCTGAGCACATAAAAAGGCTGATAATGAGTACGACTGAAATACTTGGTTTAAGATTTAAGCATTGGCCTCCTAAAACAAATATACGATAAAATACTAGAAAACATGAAATGACAATGTTCCTTATTTCAGCCAAATAATGGTCTAATCCTGGTGCTAAAGTTAGTCCTTATATATACAAATAAATAAAATTTTAACTGTCCGTTTGTAATGTTAAAAAACTGCTTTTCACTAAATGTAAATATACCAAAATAACATACACGGTAAATATACCAAAATAACATTTTTGGATTTTTGCTCTGGCTGTCTGTTTGTTCCGGATAATCTCTGAAACGGCTTTACCGATTTGGACGGGGCTTGCACTGGCAGATAGCCTATGTAATAAAGTGTAACAGGTAGTTATATTATAAGACGGTAACGGTTTTGTTATACGGGACACTGTACAATAATAGGTAGTATTAATTCGTTCTATCTCTATACAAATATATATTCTTCATAATAGGTACTCACACTGCTGTGTCCTTGAACTGTGAATATAAACAGACACAAACATATTACTTTAAACATTGTGTTAAGATCAAGAAAATAAAACTGTACATATTATGTATAGGCAGTAAGTTTTTTTTATTAGAAATTTTATGATTTTAGAGAGTTTTGATTATATATTTCGTTCAATTTTTATGTTATAATATATTGAAACTGAAATGGAGTTTTATGTTCTGTTACTTTTATCACATTTCGTATTATATGTTGGAAGCCATAACTTAGTGAGTGAAATGAGATATTTCTATATATTTAAGATAATCAGAATAGACATAGTACATTTTTATAATAGTTAATGTATTTTAATTATAAAACAATAGTATTTTTTTATTAGTATAACTCTGCTTGTAATAGAGATTTTTCTTATTTTTTATTTTTTTTTGCATATAACTTACTTCTTCTTATCATTGCCAGCTGTCAAATCATTTGAGGAGCAAAAGAGATGCAGTAGGAGAATTGCGTATAATCAATAACCACGCCCAGCCAATACATGAAGATGTGAAGCCTGAAGGAGAAGTTACCACTGAAAAAGTAAATACATTTCATCATGATAACAGGCACAGACCTTCACTGTGAATAGAAATATAGAAACGGGTTAAAACCTATTACGCGAGCTCAGTGCGAATCGGTGGTAGGTAACGACTGCAGCGTGACCTATAGCTTAAGGCTTCCAAAACACGGAGGAGCTCGAGATAGTATATTTATGGTCACCCATCCTATGAACGGCCGTTGCGAATGTTGCTTAACTTCCGTAATCGTTGAACGCTGTAAAACGGCATTACGGTGGTGTTGATTATTGCATCATCGAGATCCATAAGATGAGTACAGAGTGGGCCGTGGAGTACTGAAGAATGTTATCTAATGCGCTTTATTGCCGAAGCGCACGAAGTTAATTTTGTGTTTTTTTTTTTGCTATAGAAGAGAATCTTCTAAATTCATGTGTTAACTGTGATGAGCACTTAGAAATATGATGTAACTAGTTTTCTTATTTGTTGCACAAACGTCCATTAAGCTTGTCATTAGTTAAAACCGACATAATTAGAGTCGTCGTCAAATAAGGCGAGGTTGTACGAAATGACCACTTTTTAAACCAATTTTATTCCAAGGCTATACTATAAAGTTAAATAATCGAAAATCACAAAGATACTCACATAGGTTTTATTGGATCAATATCGACTAGTATTTTACATCGTAACTACTCGTATATAAATACAATATACAGAAATAGGTTTTGATATCTTTTGATAACAAAGGCAGTTGTAGCATTTGTTTTTCTGTGATTAAAAACTGTGCGGAATCAAACTAGCGCGTCTTTACTCTCGATGCGTATTTGTTTATATAGGTCGGCGGGTAGCCCGAATGGGCTATTACGAAGCCCAAATAGATCGTCCATATCGGAGGACTATCTTTAAAATAACACTGCAGGCGTGTATACCAACGTGGATTTGTTCCATTTTATCACTTTCCATACGAAAATATAACGAGATGAGCGTGATGTCGTCGGATGTCTTTACTTCTCGGCGATCGGAAACAGAATGTGTGCCAAGATGGCGGCAAATTGCTTTTTGTTAACGAACTGTCAAAGTCAGTGTCATCATTCTAATAAAATTAAAAGTATCGATGATCTCGCTCTCTCTACAATCGAGTAATTAAGTAATCAAGTAACTAGCAATTAAAATAAAAGCAACTAAATCAACCGATCTCCGTAAAGATAATGCGACATATATGTATCGGAAAGTAACCGGAGGTTCTAGAAGGCCGTCACTTATCATATCCATCGCACAAAATCGATTAGGTTTAATATAAGAAACCTCTTTTAAGTTTCCATTCAGCGCTTACTTAAAGGGTTTTCTTTTCATGAAAAAGATTAATTAAGACGCTATTGTTAGTCTTTGGTAAGGCACTTTACATTTTTTTAGGTACTTAAAAAAAAATGAACATAATTTATTGTAATAATATTACTGAATGATGAAATTATATTCTATCACAGTCTCATAAATGCTATCACTGTTTGGGTAGAGGCTATCGCGCGGGCCCATTATGTATTTAGGGGACGTTAATGACTCAGCCGTGACCATGAGTTTAGTATGCCTTTGAAGTATCTCCTGTTCAAGTCAGTAAACTTTTAAGTCTTTCATGCAACGACAGACCTCTCCAAAAGTTGCTTAAAGTTAACTATTGCAGATCGAATACGCTTACGACTACGCTATAGAATTTTTACTTCGTTTGGAATCACCTGAGTATATACTTTTAATTTGAAAACCATACTTATCTCATTACATTTAAAGTTGCATATTGCCAACGTATTTCACATAGAAGCAGCTAGCTGAAAGAGATGTTTCCTTTTTGCAGTTTTCATCAAGTAAAGTGCATTTCCAAATTGGATAGAAGTCCTTAAAAAAAATCACAGTCAAACATTAATATTAGTCGTATAACGAATGAGAATATTTATGTTCTTTGAATTTTAAAGGTTGTCTCTGTTTTTTCCTTTTATTTTTAAGATCTTTCGAATAACTCGGATATTTAGTTGTTTATATAGTTATTACTAGAATCTAGCTCGATGGAGCAGTAGTTTGCGCGTTCGGTCTGCGATGCGGAAGTAAGGCTACTTTTGCAAGGGCCGGTTATAGAATGGGTGATCAAGGGAGTGGATGGCCCGGCGAATATTTTCGGGTTCTTGAGTACTACTTCCAATTGAAGGCATGGCCATTGTTTGCAGTCATTAATATACACCAAGCCTTGTTGGGCCCGCGTGGCTAATGGGCCATAGTCCAGCATAGGGGATAAATAGGCTTACGATGATGAAAAGTAAATAATTTAATAAATACCGAAGGACCAGAGTTTCAGAGATAATACAGAGACTACGCATATATACTAACATACAAATTCACGTTTCTTTTCATTTAAATCACTTGCTTATTTCTTAAATTGACTTTGAATGTAACAAAATCAATTTAAAGCTAATATGTACTGTCATTTAATTAAATACATATTCATATTTTAAAAGCAAATCTTTTAATAGATCATTAGTACCTTAGGCGGGGCTCACACCGGGTGCATTTTGGACATCATTTCATAGATTGCTATAGTGACACAAATATTTAAATAATAAATGAAATTGCAGCCGTGTCCAGAGAAAATTAAACCATCTTACATTGAAATGGGTAGTGTTTTTCAGGTAACCAGATAATTAATATAAAATTTATTAATTAAGGTTAGGTGAATAATTAGTCTCCAAAAGATTATGACTACTACTTTGAAAAGACAAGTTTCAGGTCCACCAATCCTCTAATGTATCAAAGCCTTCCATCCTTTTTAATACTCCTTCTACAAAATCTTACTCACTTCTCGCGCTCTGGTTGACTTGAGTATTTTGATCCTGCACTAGGTGATACTTACACTTACACTAGTAATACTTACGCTTTTACAACTGTTCTTCTTTACTCTTACTTTGGTTTGAATTGTTATTAAATATGGTATGGTAATATATGTTACTGTAATGTTTTTCCATCTAATCTAGGTTGTTTGAAAGAAATCGCTGGTAAGCGTACAAAAGGCAGTCTTATCCGCCTCTTGTACGCAGTGTAATAAAATATTTATATGTCCATGTCATTTGCTTGAAGTGCAATAAAGAGTATTTACTTACTGTATGCTCTTACTGTCTAATTGTTCTGTAGTATATATCCCTTGAGAAATAATATTTAGAATGTATCTTGGATCAAATTAATTCTTTTTGACACAATCTCAGTAATCATCATGTCTCGCTAATATGAATTATTTGGGATAATAACCACCATTTTAAATAGAAAATAAATGGTGTTCTTTAGTAAACATATCGTTAATACTCACAAATCCGCATTTGGCCCGTGTGCTCTAACAGTGGGGAGATAAATAGGCTGATTATGATATTGAATAGCTTTTTTTATTGATTTTAAACTTTACATCTCGAAAGTAGAGCCAGAAATTGTTTTTTGCTACAAAGATATCACTTTAAAAGTTGGTATTCGCTTCTGTGTTAAAACCATGTGTTGTTTCAGGTGGTACCCCCTAAAGACTCCATCTGGTTCGAAGGTCAGTCCCTGAGGAAGTCTTTGCCCGTCAACAACAAACTTGACTTGATCAGAAGCCTCAGTAGATTCTTTACTTTATTCGTGCTCTTGCTGTCCGGTGTAATAGAGTTCTACCCGATGTTACAGCAACTTTACAGCCATATACAGAATTTTATTTTAATGTAATATAGTTGATGGTGATTCATGTTTCTGTTTTTCTATTATGAGTTAATCTTATTGGATAAAATCAAGGGAACTAAGCATTTTTATTAAATCTCTGGAAAATACATTGCTCAGATCGCATATGAAGTAGTCAAGGCTTTGTATTATGGCATACAAGCCAATTGCTGTGTTGGGGCCGATATGGCAACCAAAATGACCAAAATCTGTGACTTTGATAATCTATCGCAAGCAAAGGTGTAGCGATTTATGTAACGTATCCACTATGGCATGACAAATAATTGTAACGTAATATGTTTCAAATATCAAATTGAAAGGAATTTTCAATTTGACTAGGGATTATGATATATTTTAAAATTAGACAATGTGGCCATCTCTAGAGACAGCGACGATTGATTTTAATCTATTGTTAGTCCCACACTTTAAGCTCAATGGTCTAAATCAATTTGTTAGTAGAGAAATGGCACTAACTGTACACATTTTCTTGTATAATAAATTTTCTTGTATATAGATACAAGAAATTTTTCTTGTATCTATATACAAGAAAATTTATTATTTGTAAGAATCTAATGAAAAGAAATCTAAATTAATTAAAGTATAATTCACAAATCTCTACAATCTTAAGTAAAACTTCAGGATAATGTTATTAAACAATATAGCATGAGACTCTTTTATTATGGATAACTTTATATCACAAAAGGACCGTACACAATCAATTATAATATACGAAGAATTTTATAAACATTACGGTGCGAAATTATATTCATTTGGCTTTGAATTGTGCTAGAAACATGCTAATGTAGATTAAAAGAAATGTACCTGCATACAATAATAATAATTTGCATTATACCTTTAAGTTTCTGCCAAGAGCTGCAAAATCAGAATGTAAGTTTTTTCTTTTTCATTATTAATTATGTGATCAAATAATTTGTAATCAGAACCCATTTATTGTATTCAAGAGTTGATATTTGATGGTGTAGCCGAATTTACATTACGTAACAAGTTGCATGCACAAGTTTCATAAAACAACTAATAACAATACTCTTTTTTTAAGGTTGGACAAATAAGATATCGCATCAGAAGAGTACCTGATAAAAAACTTGAAGATGTTCGTCAACTTATAAAGGATAAATATAACAAAGGATCAAGATTACCCTTGAAAGAAAAACTGGTTACCTCCTCAAACTTAAAACCAATACCTAAAATCAACCCTATACCAAAAAGTAATGTGAATTATAATGGAAAAGTTATAAATAATTTATCAAATCAAAGATATCCGTTGATTTATAATATCCCAAGAAAAAAGAATATTGTTAATCTACAAAGTGGACTAATGAAAGATAATTTTAAGTCGAAACTCGTTAAAGAAGTAAATACTACACAGCAAGAATCCCTTCCAAAACCAAACCGTTTTACGGAAGATTCTGATGATGATAGAACTGTAATTGAAAAAACAAAAGAATCTACAACAACTGATAAACCACAACAACCGACAACGCAAAGCCAAAAGATAGATACTCAAATTGAAAAAGCAGTAGTTAATCACTCTAATAAAAGTGCGATTTTACATAACAACACTGAAGAAAAGAAAAATTTGCTTTCAGAAGATCATTTTATTAATAAAGGAAAATTTATATCAGCTGAAGACGACTTGAATAATTTTGACTACGACGAAATAGATGACGTGTTAAATAAGACGAGTTTTTACAAACCAGAAGATCAAATGGAAGATATTTCATCGAATAATTTTACTAATGACAGAAACGGTGTACCTGATACGCAAATTATAGACAATAAAAACGAAACATTAGCTGAAGACGAGTTAAAACTTGAAAAAGAGGCTCGTCAAAATGAGGATGAAAGACCAATTGTCGCTGAAAAGCCATCCATTAATTTACCTCTAAATGTAAGGAAAATAACATTGCCTTTGAAAGAGAAAAAAACAAAAATTATTTTTCTTGTATCACCTAAGACCTCCTTGGAGCAGGAGTCCTCTTTGGGAGAGTCTAAGGTATCTGGTAATAATAACAAGCACTTGTCTTCGCAGGTTTTGACAGACAAAATCACTTTTAGCAATAACAAACTTAATGGAGTTCCAAAATCATCAGATTTAGAAAATGGTAAGAAATTTGATTAGTATCTAGCTGTTATAATTTACAAAATAAAAATAATAGATAAGTAATTTAAGTAATAAACAATTGTATTTTTTTAATCTTAAATCATAACCCCGATGTAATACGAACGTCCAATATTTTATAACGAAATTAGGGGGCACGGTAGTGCTCCTGCCAAGTCAAGCGCGAAGCATTAGTGCCGTATTTTCAGCTCAGATATTTTCGTCAGTAAATAAGTTTGTTAATATAGTAAGCTTGTTAATTAATTAGTTCTGAAGCTAACAGAAAACAATGTTTCACAATTTTTTCACTGACACACTGATCATCAAAATAGAACTGGTATTTCCCATTGACCTAGAGAGCTGAAATTTGGTAAAATGGGAGAGTTTAATGCCCATATAGAGTAAAAAGTATTAATACAAAAGAATTATAGAAGATCTAGAAAGCGTAAGAGCACACCCAAAATATTTGCGTAATAGAGGAGAAAGATTTGTAATCATAAAATACTACTCCTAAAATAAAAAAACTGTGTCCAATAAGATAATCTAACAAATCAATCAGCACAATTTTTACCAGTTTTCTGCAATAAGAAGTGAAATCCCACGAAAAACAAAATAGCCAAAGTAAAAAATAACCAAACTTGATGGAGCTTATCTCTAAAAAGTAATGAAATCGCTAGTCAAAGTTGAGCCAAGTCTCTTTAGACTTTGCATTAAGGAACCTTTTCCTTAATGCAATTTCTTTATTATTATATATGGTTTGGTCGTTATATATGGTACCCATTAACATGTAAAAAATGTTCAACGGACATTAAATACTATTGGTATATTGGAGTATTGCGTTATGATGTGATTAATTTTATGAGATAGTCATGTTTATGTTAACACCATCTATTTGGTTCCTTCATTGCTAAATATATGACATTGTCAATTGAAATGGAAGATTTTGAAGGTCCATTAAATTCAACTTAATAAAACGCAACGACATTTGTGTGCTATCATTAATAGGTTCTTTTTCCTTAATACATTCCTCTGATATGCAAAGGTGTGAATACTAGTCAATAGATTTTCTTCATCTCCACTTTTTTTCTCCGATGCAGACAGTGATTAACATACAATCTCTGAATAGTGAAAAGTGCAAAATCTCAACTGATTAATCTCAATAACTTAAGTTTCTTAAGGTTTTACAAGGCACAAAGTCCCAGTTTTATCACACTGCTATCAATTGATCATTAATATTTTTTAATTAAAAAAAAACTAAAACTAGGACTTGTTTAAGTGACATTTAAGTACAGTTTGAGACGTTCTTAACTTTAAATTCTCAATTCAGAAGCCGAGTGTAAGTGTCTTTTGTGGGTAAAATTGTAGATATTGAATTGGTGTTGTTTTCTGGTCCTCTTCGATTCTTTTCTATGAAAGTTGATTCCCTGCACTCTAAACTATTCAAATTAGTGTTAACAATTTAAAAAATTATTGCTAATTCCACTGACAATATTTTGAAAAATATGATTTATTTATTTATTATTTCAGAAAAATTTGACGTCATTGAAATAATACAACATAATATCACTGAGGTTGTTGAAAGGAAAGCGCCGTCAATTGATGATAGCGAATCTAGTTACGTGACATCAACATCGAATTCATACAGAACGCAAACAAACAACTTCGTAAATGATAAACCAGACGTAACCTACGTTCAAACACCTTACGAATATCCATATACAAACTATATTCAAGACGGTTCTTCTTATTACAAAAAATATCCAAACTTTAATAGCTTTGAGAGAAATATAAACGACGACGCATCAAATAAAATATGGAGATCATGGATTGACACAAAAGTATTGATAAAAACTTCATCGAAGAATCCTGATTTGAGTCCATCGTCAAATTATAACATACCTAAGAAATTAAATTACAACAATTTTGCTTACAAAAACGCCGTACCAAATATGTACACGTCTTATCCATGTTATGTTTATCCTAATAATTGTTACGCCTCAACCAATGGTTACTACAATGGTAACGCTTATTAAAAATATTTTAGTTTTATAAGTTTTGATAAAAAAATCACGTAGTTCTTAAGGCTCCATAAAATCAGTCACTATTTATAAACGAACACTAAACTACATTTTAGTTGCCTTATATGTATTTATATCTGTTAGTTAAAATATATCAATGGTGTAAATATTTTTTATTTATAAATGTTAATGTTAGGATTGCTAATTAAATTAAAATAAAACACATTTTGGCATAGGTGAATATTAAATATCATTTTATTTAATATAAATCCTAAATTTTATCCGAAATGTACAGGAAAATTCAGCGACAAGTGACAGTAAATAAAAATTTATTAATATAACATTAATTAATTGACAAATAATATGTAATTAATTGTATCAGTAAAATTTTACGTTATGCATAGGAATACTAAAGTTGACTGCTTAAGCTCATAAAATAAAATGACTAAATTTCAGTTGTTCAATGACGATTAAAGCTATAATAAACTGTTCTCTTAATTACTATTTTATTCTTAAATAAAATCTTACATATTCAACAAACATTGATGAAGAAAAACAATGCACCGGAATGTCATAATAAAATAAGAAATGTATCAAAGATGTATTTCTTGCATGAAGTAGGGTGACAGTATTTATATTAGAAAAACGGGATAGATTCCTATGGTAGATAATAATAAATAGTTCATTTTATTTCCAATACCCGCTACTCTTTGGTATTCATGTGATACGTCAATCCTATGCTTCTCTTTATCAAAACATTTCACATTAAAGTAAAAAATTGACTGAAAGTATCTAGTAAAGAATTGACATACCATTCATGATTACTCAATTTACGTAACTAATAAAGATACCCAGTAATTTGGCTTCGTATGTACAGCGGTACAACTTAAAACTACTGCCCGATATAGAATCATGCCACAAATCGTCAAAAGTTTATTATGTCATCAATTTTTATATGTAGGTAAAAATAATATTTTCCTGGACAGCGTTGAATCAGAATCTAGTGTAATATATTACTAAAAGTAATTAGGAACCTTATTTCTATAATCTATGAAGAAATCGTTTTTATGGAATGCTATTCTCAGAGTCTCAACTGTGTTACTGCATACGAAGCCAGATTTCCTCCTGCCCTGTGCATAATTGGTCACCTTAGTTGGGGACATCTTTGCGCACTTTATGGCCACGGAACGAGGCCTGAATCTTAGTAGCAGCCTTGTTCAAATCAGGATCAGTTAAATCAATCTTCTCTATGTCCTCCTGAAGAAAAAAATGTTGAAAGCTTAATAAATCTAATAGGCAACTGACGCCTAATAAGGCCCATCGTTTATGACTGATGGAGTGACAAAATAAATAGTTCTAAATAGATTTTTTCCATCATTATTTCAGTTGATACAGGACAATAATCAAGTCGTACTATAATTAGCTTTTTTATAATTCAGCTGCCAAAAACAGTGGGCTTTATTATACGACAGTAACTTTGTGAGTTTCCTGAAAATATTTCGTAATATGAGGCTGGCATTCGGTGAAATATGGTTTCAATTTTTGGAAGAGTGAAAGAATAAAAAGGGTTACATTTATTTTTTACGGAGATAGTGAATTAAAAAACTTAGAGAAAAAACAAAAAATAAAAAATTATTGCTCATAAAAAAAAATCCTATATAATATTTCTGATTGCTAAATAAGACTGCCTTAAAGATAATTGCTTTTCCAAATAGCCTTTGACTAAAATAACAAAATTGGAAAATAGATCGATACAGTGTTAGATGTATCGTACCTTATCCTGTAATTCCTGTGCCTCTTTGTCCTTTTCCGCTTGAGTCTGCTTACGAGCTTGGTGGCCTCTGAACGAAGCTTGGATCTTGGTTGCAGCATGACACAGGTCTGTGAACAATCATAATATATTTAAAAATGAAATTAAACAATACGGAATAAATATTTAATAAGATTCCTATTTTTTTTATCAACTTAATTTAGATCCACCCTATTTTGATGATACATCTGTAGTCTTTTGTTTTATTTATTGTTTTGTTATAACAAAGACACAACTGACATTTACAAAATGTAAGGGTTAGTTGTACCAACTTACTTTAACAATAGGGATGATGACTAAATTTTGTTTGTTTGTCCGTCAGGTAGAGTGTTAAAAAATATTAAACTCATGTTTTTTAGGAAACTAATCATAAAATTACGGCGTTACATTGAGTTGAAATTTCGCATGACGGCACGTTAGGGTACGTTTTCTACTCAACTGTGACATAGCGAGCCCCCACTCCTCAACTTTAATGCCTGTTATCTAAGCAATTTCTTGTTAAATTGAAGTAAAAAAAAAAAACGTATCTAATATTTTTCTATTATCTGACTGACAGACTAAATAGAATTGCATTTTTTTTACCCAGTCATCATCCCTATTACATACATGCTAACGTACCGGTTAAGCAAATAATAAATTGTCATCATTTAGCATTTGGCAGAGGACATCATAACTTTAACCACCCAAGTTTCACCGGTTCAAGTTATTGTTTTACTATTTAAATATAGAAAGTTAAATATAAGATGGTGCAACGCATTCAACGATTAATGTTAAAATCAGTTTGAAAGTTATTGTCAAATTTGACATAGACATAACTTTAACTGCTATAATGGTGCAAAAAGAGTTACTTTTGATAACACATCAAAGTGCTCGCATGTCTAATACAGTAGAATTAGGAAGCATTTATTTAAATGAAATAAAACTTTATTTCCCTCGAACATTTTACAATAAAAACATCATGGTGTGCTTCTTTTTAAGTACCTATAATAACTGTATCTGAAGCCACCGTTCTTCCAGTCGTTATATATGAATATTCAAATATTATGACAAAACATAGAAGGGAAGAAACAATTGTAGAAATAAAGTAAGTATTAAGTACTTATTACTCAGTACCCAGTGCGGAGGCTAGGCGCTAGAACGTCTGGTGGCGGCGGCGTGAAACAAACTTTTAGCGATAACTGAATATGTTTGTTCCATTAAATGAAAGAGTTACATTTTTTATGAATTATTAATTCACCATTTTAAAGACCGGTTAACGCCTATATGAAAACTAGAATGTCTTAAAGTTCCAAATAATGGCTACATTGGTCCAAATGGCTGTAGCCATCCACCATTACATCCACAAACTCATATTAATATAATAAAGTTAAAAATATATGCACGTAGGGGGGGTTTCAAATGCCAAGTTTGTACTGATTGGACAAACTTATCGATCCGGGCTTATTGCCGCCCCGGGCCCTAGTCCGCCACTGAATTATAGTGTAACTAAGGAAGGAAAGATAGTTGATTCGTTCACATTTGAATCGTTATCGATAAATGCTTATCGATTTTCTATGAAATCGTGTAACTGTTGGTATTCATTATTTCAATCGTTAACTCAAATATTGTTTAATCATATTCAATCACAGCGATTTACGAATGAACAAAGCAGGATAATATTAGAATAAATACAACACTGAGTGGTTTATAAAATGAACGAGAAAGGTATTTAAACATTGTTTGCATGAAGATTTGTAAAAAAACTGCTGGTTAATACCAGCTACTCTATTATGTTAAAAACATATTCGGACTCTCTACAAGCGCAGCTCTGACAGCTTAGAACTTCAAACTAATGACACATTTGTTTACCTTTTGAAGTAGAATTTATTTCATTGAACATCTACCGTCTTATTTTAAAATAACGACTTAAGTAAGTACATGATTAAATGAACACATTTATGTCTAACTTTTATTTGGGTTTATTGTAATGTTATTCTACTAAGTTATATTCTTGTATGTTATACTCGTAATATAATAAGGTATTCTTCTCATATCTATACTAATATTATTAAGCTGAAGAGTTTGTTTGTTTGAATGTGCTAATCTCAGGAACTACTAGTTCGAATTGAAAAATTCTTTTTGTGTTGAATAGACCATTTATCGAGGAAGGCTTTAGGCTATATAACATCACGCTGCAACTATTAGGAGCGAAGAAATAATGAAAAACGCGGACGAAGTCGCTGGCGGCTATTTTCAAAATTGAATTGGTAGTTTGACAGTACTAAACGAAAATTTAGTTTAGTCAGAATTGCTACCATTTTCGTTGCAAATAAAATTAAAAATACTAAATCGTATGATTTAACATGACATCTGAAAGCCTATTCTATTTATCCGAAATTGAAATTTCCTCTATATCCGAAATCCTTATACGATTCGAAAGAAACATAATTTTCGATAAATAATGACGCAACGTAGGTAGGACCTGACACTGCCTCTGGTGAACAGATAATAATGACGCAACGGATGTAGGAACTCACACTGCCGCTGGTGAACAGATAATAATGATGCAACGGAGGTAGGACCTGACGCTGAATCTGGTGAACAGAAAATAATGACGCAACGGATGTAGGAACTCACACTGCCGCTGGTGAACAGATAATAATGATGCAACGGAGGTAGGACCTGACGCTGAATCTGGTGAACAGAAAATAATGACGCAACGGATGTAGGAACTCACACTGCCGCTGGTGAACAGAAAATAATGACGCAACGGAAGTAGGAACTCACACTGCCGCTGGTGAACAGATAATAATGATGCAACGGAGGTAGGACCTGACGCTGAATCTGGTGAACAGAAAATAATGACGCAACGGATGTAGGAACTCACACTGCCGCTGGTGAACACAAAATAATGACGCAACGGATGTAGGAACTCACACTGCCGCTGGTGAACAGATAATAATGATGCAACGGAGGTAGGACCTGACGCTGAATCTGGTGAACAGAAAATAATGACGCAACGGATGTAGGAACTCACACTGCCGCTGGTGAACAGAAAATAATGACGCAACGGAAGTAGGAACTCACACTGCCGCTGGTGAACAGAAAATAATGACGCAACGGAGGTAGGACCTGACGCTGAATCTGATGAACAGAAAATAATGACGCAACGGATGTAGGAACTCACACTGCCGCTGGTGAACAGAAAATAATGACGCAATGGTGGTAAAGCCTGACACTGCTTCTGGCGAACAGATAACATTCACGGGTGTGATTTTGAGAACGATTCGAAATTTTCGGAATTTTAGTTTAAGAACAAACAGATTACGCCCTCAGGTGTCATGTTAATTCGTGCGAGTTATAGTCTTACCATCCTATTTCATGAGTCAGTAATTCAATTTGCCCAGCCCGGCTGCATTTCCGAATTGTGTTCCAACACATTCCTTGCCATAGAATTATGGGTGTCATTTATCACGTATTATTTCTGCGAGAGCTTTGATTCACCACGGATGGAGGAAATATAATGGAGGCATTAATAATGGGATTGTTTGAATATACGATAATTAAATCCATATTTGCGTGTAGGGACCGTAGAATAAAAGCTTTGTAGGCTCTTATTTCCATATTTCTCGTTACCAACGATGTTATTGTGTTATCACACATACAATGTAAGATTATATACTAATAAAATAATATAAATGTTGCTCGGAGTAGCTGCGTGGCTGGGTGGAGAAGCGCTATGGCCCGCGATCGTTGTTGTTCAGCAAATTTCGCAATGGTAGGTCACGGGATGGGTAACTAAAAATTACTATTACGAGCTACTCAGTGCCTTAGGAGGCACCCTATGCCGTTGGTCGCGGCAGCATTTACAGTCATTAATACCCTCTAATCGGCATCAGCAAACGTAGGGGTCATGGTTCATCCTTAAGGACCATCCATAAGGAAGGCCTGAGCCCCTGCAGTTGAGATGTAAAAGGGCTGATAATGGTATACAAATGAAAGGAAATCTAGTTATCTTAAATTGGAATGAAGAGGCAAATAAATAGAATGCCTCTGTTTATCAAAGAATAAAATAATTCATGCTATAAATTTTTATAAAATTTCTTTATACTACCTACGATATTCCCATAAGTGGCATATAATAAATTAGAAAAAAAAATCAAATACACACCTAAATCGGAAAAAGAATTGTAGCGAATCACTTGGAAAAATGTATTTCGACGTCGTTATTAATGTTCTTCGAGTCGCGTGAATTGAACGGAAGGCTTTTCATTTTTATTTTCACGTCACTAACATCAAGGCTTTCAACTTTCAAAGCCCCAACATGAACCGCGTAAAAATACAAAAAGTGCTCCCCTTATGAGCTATACGTACGTACAGATATAAAATTTTATAATGTGTCATAATAAATAACGCTTTTGAAATTGTTGGAATCACAAACCGATTATTGCTTTCAAACAAAAACTTGTTATATTAAAAAAATGTTCTTTCTCATTTAAGTATTTATAAATTATAACTCATACAATAGTGATAAAATTTCAGAAAAGTATAACAAAAGTGAAAAATTTGTGGGTTATGAGTTGATGTTTTTGTCTATACTTTAACTACTAATAAATAAAGCGAAAATATTTGTTCGTTTGGCTCCGAAACTAAGATCGATTTTAAAAATTCGTTTGCTTACGGGAAGCTATATTATAGCTGGTAACATGGGCTATAAACGGACGAAGTCGCGGGAAGACAGTTAGTATTTAATATTTATAATGTCAACACAAATTTGAATTTTAGCATTAACTTAATTCGTTGATCATTACCAATTTTATGGGGTACATATATAATATTTTAATAAAGTTTAAATAACACATATAAAGTATTGATAAAATATCAATTTATAAATAAATAATAAAAATATCATTAACACCATGTTCAAAAAGTGTTTTGTGAATATATTTACGTTTTCCGTTATTTCAGAAATTAATTATACGATTTATAATTAGGGGAATAGTGAAGTTGTTGAAACATTTTTCTTTTTCTTCAACAATTTTTTTGATTTTTTATAAGTGTACTACTAAGAACAGTTTCGTTGCTTTTTAGA